ACGAGGCCGAAGAATTTCTTGTGCAAGTGATGGAGACACGGAAGAGGGTATTGAGGCCAGAGCATCCCGACACGCTGACCAGCATGGCAAATCTGGCATTTACTTGGAGGTCTCTAGGACGCAAGGAGGATGCAATAGGATTGATGGAAACATGCTTCAAACTCAGGAAAACAAAATTAGGTCTTGATCATCCTGACACCAAATCTTCTTTTAATGCATTGAATCGGTGGAGAGCAGCCGATTCAGATATAGACGGTCAAGTTGATTGAGCCAGATATTTCAATTCTCAGACGGTTCTTGGCGCCTACTCGCTCCCATCAATATATTTCCAAAACCTCTACTTCAGCAGGGGCCGTCTTCAATCGTCTTTCATTATCCTTACGCCCTTGATTGTCTCCGCTGGTCCCAGATCAGCTATACTGTTTATCGGCGAATACCTGAATTTAATGGTTTTGATATCTTTTGCTTTTCAGACAATGTCATCATTGACGTGTATCTGAAGTACTGAGTAAACACTCGATAAAACATATTCCATATTTCCATCCGGGTCAATACTACGGTAATCTGTGTCTCGGCTGCTATTTGGAAGATTAAGCTTGCAACAGACTGAGCTCTATCTGTTTTCCGTGTAGGAATGCCAGAGACCCTGTCAAACACGTGACTTCTACGATGAGTCATAGTGAACATGAACCTCCCTGTAATTTGATTTATTACATGACCACGCATTACAATGATTAGGTAAACACTGTGTATTTGACTGTATTGACTGGCCTGAGGAGGTACCAGCTGTTACTGTCTGATGCTTTGTAGACATGAGAGGAATATAAGAACTGGCTCACTAATTATTAAAAGCAATTATATCGATATGGCTTTGTAGTTTTTGGCCAGAATTATTTTAATTTAAACAGAAAATGAGAGGTATGAAGATACAACAAGTCTTTGGTGGTTTAAGCATTCGTAAGATCTCTAGCGTAACAAACTCATATCATATGTGAATCTTTGGCTAGAAAGTAGGTAAATATACTTAAATATGATTTTAGATTATATTTAACCATTCGCAACATACAATATTGGTTTGCATTGAGGATGTGGTCAGTTGGAGGTCAAGGTACCCAGACATGGTTTTGGCACACAGGGCTTTTCGTTTCACCGGGATGCGGGTTAGATTAAACTACTCACCTAGTTTTATATATAGTATAGGCACTATTACTAATGGAAGCTGTAGCTCAGCAATTATAAAGGGAAATAGTCTACTAGATAGGATAGAAATATATATAGCTAAAGTCATGGCCTACAGCATATATAGTAGGGAGGCACTTATAGTCTAGGAGTTTGACTATCTCTGTAGCTATTATCTTTATCTAGTAGTCCCCTGCCAAATAGGGCTTATTAGTACCACTATACCTGAGGAGATCGGGCGCAAGGATGCTATATCCATTTCTGCGAGAAGAAGGTGATCTATCTGATGACGCCAGTCGTAGCATGAGGAGGGGAAGCCGTGTAGGAAGAAGAGTGTTGGGAAAGACGTGCTGCTGCTGCTGCTCGATGGGATGTAAACGTAGCTGTAGGTCCGGGAGGTGGATAGAGTTATGGTTTTTGCGTGTTGGGGAATGCGATGTGAGCCATGGCAGTCGTCAGTCAAAATGAGACTGGAAATACAAACACAAGCTGATGGAATTGATAGGAATGAACTATGAAGGTTTAATTGAGGATCGCTGTGTCTAGAAGAATGTGACTTCAATTTATGTATTACTGTATTGTAGTATAAACAAGGAACAACAACAATTGACAACAAAAGCTTGCAACGCTGTATCCAGTCAAAGACCTGAAAAAATATTTATAGGATGTACTGTACACTGCAGTACTTAGGTAGAAAAACTCGGATGTTTCGGACGTTTGACTACTGTTTGTCAGATGACGGACTACAGATGACGCCGTAGAAGACAGTTGGATGCCTGAAAAGCTAATGACTCATCGAGAATTAGTTGTTTGTGGAGGATAGTAGTAACATAATACGAAAGCGCGTTAATTGTGTTTCTTTTGATATTGATTCACTGGCTGCAGATGAGATGTACTGTACATAGATATGTATCATATGTATGTCCTGCAAGAATGTATTTTCCTGGTCAGCGGGATGCGGGGAGCGGAACCAGCCGCTCGAAGGCTGAAGCCCTATGATGTAACGGCTAATTAGCTTCAGCGTCTTTTTTAACTGCTGCGTACTGTACCTACAGTACATATACATACTCCGTAGTGAGTATACGCAGTACATACACATATCAACTTCAATTCTAGTCTGACCAGCAGACCTTACTACATACTATTCTACTTGTTCTGACCATGCCACCACGAAAACGGCGTGCTCCATCAGAAACCACCCCCAACAACAATACCAACACCAACAACACCACCAACAATGACGACAATACAGAACAACCGTTATCATCCAAATCTGCTACTGCTACTACGACGCTCTCCCCCTACCCCATCAACAAAGTCTACCGCCTCATCGAGCCCGGCCCCGTGCTCCTCGTAACAACCGGCTCGCTGAAAGAAAACACGCACAACATCATGACCATCGGCTTCCACATGATGATGCAGCACGAGTCGCCCGCGCTGATCGGCGCGATAATCGGGCCCTGGGATGCCAGCTACGCCCTGCTGAAGAAGCATCGCGAGTGCGTGCTGGCCGTGCCCAGCGTGGATATGGCGGCTACGGCGGTCGATATCGGGAATTGCTCCGGTTCCGACGTGGACAAGTTTGAGAAGTTCGGCCTTGAGGTGCTCCCTGCGGAGAAGGTGGAGGCGCCGCTTGTCGTTGGGATTAGACGTGAAGGTAGTGGTGCTGGTAGGAATGAAAGTGGAGACGCAGCAGGCGCCCTCGTCCTAGCAAACATCGAATGCGTCGTCGAAGACACCAAAATGGCAAGCAAGTACGGCATGTGGGTGTTAAGGGTCGTCAAGGCATGGACGCATCCGGACCAGGACCCGAGAGAAAATGGGAAGATGTTCCACCATCGTGGAGATGGGACGTTTGTCGTTGATGGGGAGATGCTGAATCTGCAGGAGAGGATGATCAAGTGGAAGGAGTTTCAGGATTGATAGCTCTTTCGACGACGACGATGACGACGACGAGGAGGAGGTGGTAGAGGAGGAGGAGCTGGATTAAGAGGCAGAAATATGGACAGTACATGTATACACGAAATACTAGAGCCTGCTAGGTATGTATGTGTGTACATACAGTACAGTACGTAGTCTACCACGGATTCACGCAGGCTCCGTGGTACCAGGATCTGACCGCCATGGCGGTCGTCGAGACCAACACCCAGCGCGGTGATGATCACAGTTATCAGTGATGGTTCGTGTACGCGACCAGAGAAGGCCCAACTGGCGAAAGGTTGGGGAATCACCTGATTTTGACGGCATTCATCTCACCTAGGTTACCTGCTGATAACCCGTGCATATCTAGTCTTGATGGGATGCTATCAAGGGTCACATTGACATATTGCGAAAATCTTTTGATTCTAATTTATCCTACTAGCATAGATTAACCGAAATGACAACGCAAAAAAAAAGTGAATTTTCTCCCGAAAGATGATCCGTAGTAATGATATGACAACTAATAATAACCAATACCGATAGCATCAATCAACGACTAGTGCTGTAGAGCTGTTAGTGGTGATCCCGTAACCAAGCGGTCTAACTGCAGCCTACCGTCACATCCTCCCACTTCTCCCAGCCGCGTCCCTTGATCTGGGCCAGCTCCTCCATCGTGTACTGCTTGCCCGTCGTAAAGTATCCCGCGTTGATCTTGGCGTCAATCTCCACCCGCGAGTCCTTGGGGATCATTTCTGATAGAATGCTGTGTTAGCAGGCTCCAACATTTGCAGTTGTATGATCAATGACTTGCCCTCTGGAATGGGAACTCGTTCATGAATCTTGATCCCCGACGCCACAATCGCGTCATACTTCATATTCGACATGGACAGCATGCGGTCAATCTTCTTGATTCCCAGCCAGTGGAGAATGTCGGGCATGAGCGCTTGGAATCGCATCTGGATGGGTCAGCGAAAGAACAACTACATAGTATCTAACGCCACTCACATCTCGAACTCCGGCAATGTTCTCCGTCCTCGTAAAGTACTTGTCCGCCGTATCTCCACCACGCTTGCGAGCGTTGTACACCAGGTACTTGACCACCTCGCCCAGTGCGCGACCTTCCTTGCGGAAGTAAATCACCACACCGCTGCCACCGTTCTGCGCCTCTCGGACAGCCTCCTGAATACCGAACGCCAGGTACGGCCTACAGGTGCAGATATCCGACTGAAAGACGTCACTGCCGTTGCATTCGTCGTGAATGCGCAACGCCAGTCGCACGTTTTCATCCGACACCCGCTCCGGCGGACCGAAAATGTACACCGTCATACCCCCAATCGGAGGGAGGAAGACCTTCAAATCGGGACGCGTGATCAACTCCGGATAGCTGCCGCCAGTCTGCTCAAACAGCGTTCGACGCAGCGTGCCCTCGTCGACACCAAACCGGGCCGCGACGCCTGGCAGATACCAGACCGGCTCGACGGCCACTTTGGTGACCCGTACTTCACCAGTCTCGTCGACGACAATGTTTCCATCCACGGCAAGCTTCCCTTCGCTGACAGCCTTCTCGATCTCGGCCAGTTTCATGTTGGCCCGAGTGACTGCCATCGTGGGCCGAATGTCCCACCCCGCATCGAGATAGTCCTTGAACTGCGCCACGATATCATGGCCGTAGGGGTCCAGAGACACGATCTTGGTGGGATCGGCCCAGGAAGGCTGCCAGGGGAATTTGAACGTGGGCTCCGTGTTGGTGAAGTCGGGGCGGAAGTCGGTCGGAAGATCACCCGCGGCGATGGCCAGCGCATTGTAGATGCTGTAGCTGCCACCATGGGCACCCATCGCATTGCGGCGTTTCAGCATCGACGGATGCCGCGACACGATAATGGGCCCGCGTGATTTGGCGTCGGGAGCACCCCATTGAAGAGGAACAGGGTCGATGCCACTCTGACCGGGGTAGGTGGTTAACTAGAGAGACATCAGCACTGACTGCAGCCCCCATACAGGCATGAAATAGATCATCAGTACTGACCGTGATATGCTTACTGTGAGGCGACTTGGGCGGTGTGGTTGGCTCCTCTTTGGGGTGACGATCAACGTCGGCAGGGGCATCGGTGTCCAGCATTGCGATGTAGCCAGGGGCACTCTAGCAAGGAGAGAGGACGACTAAGCTAAGGGTAGGAAGAGACGAATGAGGAGAAAGGAGACGGGGAATTTCGTCTGAGGGAATCCAGGGACTTTAAAGGGCGGGCGAGAAGCTCCATGCCAGGGAGGAACAGGACGCAGGCAGACCACGCGCGGGGAAGCCATGTGATCTTATCGCGCCAGCAAACGGGATCCCCCACGCTTATCAGTGCGGAATTGCTTCTCCAGCTCTTTCCCTTCCAGGCCCTGCAGCTCGCTGTTTGAACTGTCTTGCTTGCAGTGCTATCTTTGTGCCTTCAGCATCGCTTGTGTCACTAGCAAACCTGCCAGGCATTCTTCTTCCTGCGTGTAACAAAGCCTGCTCTGAGTGCTCTCCCAGTCTCGTGCCACGGGTGAGTCTGGTCTGTCTTATCGCGGGCCGTCTCCGCTTATCGCCGGCAGCTTCTCCCGCGCCCCTCACCGCAGCTTGCCTGCTACTTTGGGTAGGTAGACTGCCGAGAAGCATCCATATATAGGACGCTCACACACCGTCCTTTCGTTACAGCCATTCTGTCCATCCTCTCAGCGTATATAGCGGATTCTTTCACAATGTCGGATCCTTCGCTCCCTGCCAACGCCCGCGTCTCGACCAACCCCTTCGTCGAGTCCAAACTCAATCACCTCCGCGACCGCACGCTGGGCAGCACCGCCGTGCGCGCGACCACTGCTGAAATCTCCCGCATCCTGGCTGTGGAAGCGACCCAGGATGAACGGCCCCAGGGCAAGATCGGGTTGATTGTGGTGCTCCGCTCGGGACTGGCCATGAGCGATGCCTTCCTGGCCCAGTTGGCGCCAGACACGGACGTGGTCGTCTACCATATCGGCATGTTTCGCGAGCGGGTGTCGCTGCAGCCAGTCGAGTACTACAACAAGCTGCCGAATAACAACACCGAGGTCAAACGGGTGTATGTCGTGGACCCCTTGATTGCCACGGGTGGCACAGCTGGGGCGGTGATTGAGATTCTGCGGTAAGCAGTGATACACTCATGTGCGTGTGACAGGCTAACTGTTCGGTAGGGACTGGGGTGTTGAGCACATCACTTTCGTCTCGATCCTCGCCAGCAGGGCAGGACTGGAAAAAGCAGCCAAGGTCTGGCCTGAGGGAACCAACTTTGTCGTGGGTGCAATCGACCCCGGTCTCGATGAGCAGGGATACATCGTACCGGGGATAGGGGATATTGGGGATCGGTTGTTCAACACGGTGCATGCAAACTAAACCACCTAGTTAGATACCATCTGACGATAATGACTGAATGAACGTGCTGATCAATCACTGAATATAATTAGCATGATATGGTTCCAGGAAACCACTTCTTGAGATAGAATATACAATAAATCTTAGCGATACTTGCAAATATAGGTTTATCTTCTAGAGAGGCCATGTTACTTATACCAGGTTTAACCCGTGAGAAGAGCAAGTATGAGGCCGAAGAAAAAGGCAGAGAGAGTAAGCGTCAGAAACAGAAGCCGTACGGACGGACAGCATCAGTTCTCGTAACAAATGAATGCCTGCGCTCCTGGGTTGACACAGAGGAAAAAAAAGGCAAGGCTGGACTGGATGGGAGTACTCCAGAAGCAGTCAGTAAGTCATGCTGCTGCTAACCCTTAAAAGGAACAGCATTATCACTGCCCGTAAGTAAGCTCTGGATGACGGCCATCGCACAATTGACTGCTACCTAAGAATGCTGACGCTGACAAGGCTTGCATAAGGCTGGGTTGGCTAGTCATAGGTATTACGTAGGTAGGCAGATTCCGTTGCATCGTTCGATCATTAGCTACTTGACCTATAGTGCTAGCTAGCTCACTTTCCATCCCTTCCTAGGATATAGCTAGTATACACAGGCATCTATACAATGGTCTGTGAGTTTTGAAGGACGTGTTTCTGCCAGACGGTATATCGACTACTATCGACTATTATCAATGACGGACATAGCACTTTTTGTCATTTCTATTCTGGTCCCGCAGTCTACCTGGGTAGTAGTATTTACCAGAAGAAGCAAAAAAGAAAACAAAATACAGAATAAAAAACAAAGGAATTATCGGGGATGTCATCAACATGAAAAAAGGAGAAAAAAAATACAAAAACTGGTATCTATCATGCTCTCGTCTCACATGTTCTTGGGAGAAAAAAAATCTTCATCCGCAGGGAGCAGAAAAATGAGAATCATGTTGCGGATCCTTTCTTTTTTTGTTTTTCAGGTACATCGCCGTTGGCTTTGTTGGCTGACGCCTAGAAGAAAAAAAGAACGTTTCCGAGGCCGGTACTTCATTTTACCGAGTCCATATCCTCTGCGTCCGCGAAAGGATAAGATCGGAAGCTCAGTCCCGCGAGAAAAGCTCAGACAAACCCACCCGCCATGGCTCGCTCGTTTATGATGTCGTAAACTCAGGACGAGACCGCGGGTTCTTGATCGTCTTCTTGATGATCTTCTCCACAGCGTCCCAGTCGCGGGTCTCGATCCCCTCGATATGCGTATCAAAGTACTTCTGGATGTCCATGAGCATCTTCCACTCTTCCTGGTTGGACACGAACGAGATCGACACGCCCACGCGTCCGAAACGACCCGTACGACCAATACGGTGGAGATACGTCTGTGGATCGGCTCTACGCGGCTGGCCAGGAATGTGCACTTGAGGGATATCCTAAAGAACGTCAGCATCGCGTGCGAGAGAAAAGACGCCCAAGTTAGACACATACGTAGTTGACAACCATGGACACCGTAGAAACGTCAATTCCACGGGCAAGAACGTTGGTGGTGATCAGCACCTTGGCGTCACCGTTGCGAAACCTATCGATAATTTGGTCACGCATGGCGCCTTCGATACCACCAGTCAGCGACGCAACAGTGTGGCCCTCTGCGACCATGCGTTTCTCGATTTCGGCGGCAGTTTGACGAGTCTAGACGGTCGTTAGATAGAAAGTTTTCTGCAGATGGAAAGCTCGAGAGAACACACCTGGACAAAGATAATCGACGATCCAATGGTGAGGAGACCGTAAAGCTTGACCAGCACGTTGTATTTGTCATTGTCATCCGCGCAGTCAAGATAGAACTGCTTGATACCCTCAACGGTGAGCTCGTTTTGCTTGAGGGAGATCTCGTTAGCATTCGGGGCGAACTTGGCAGCATAGTGGCGGATATGCTGCCCGAAAGTGGCGGAGAAAAGCACCACCTGCACCGTCTTGGGTAGCATTCTGATACGGTAGTTAGCAACTGCGAGAAACAATAGCGCGAAAGGGGCGAGGACGAACGCTTTGACCCGGATGCATTGATCACCAAGACCTTGTTGGTCGAGCATGTTGTCGGCTTCGTCCAGGACGAGCACCTTGATGCGTTGGGGCAGGAAGATTCGCTTCTTCATCAAGTCCGTAACGGTACCGGGTGTTCCAACAACCACCGAGGCTTCCAAGCGCGCTGGTCGCTTGGCCTCAGTGGGCACGGCGACTGCGACAACCAGTCCCTCGAGGAACTTTCCCATGTGCTCGATGACCGAACTGATCTGCCGAGCCAGCTCACGACTGGGCGCGAGAACCAGGGCCTGCGGAGTCTTCCGCTGTTCGTCGGTGGCCAATTCGATGCGACTCAGGATATTCAACACGAAGGCGGCCGTCTTTCCAGTACCCGACTGCGACTGACCGATCAAGTTGGTGGGTGGGTTCGCAAGGAGCAAAGGAAGAGCGCGCTCTTGGATCTTGGACGGTTTGCGGAAACCCATGGCGAGAATACCACGGGTGATGCGCTCGTCCCTATATACGAATGCGGTCAGCACCACAACGACCAGACCATATGGATGATGAACGTGTCCCACTTACAGGCCCAGCTCTTCGAAGGTGCTAACAGAGTAAAGAGGGTTATTGGGGTCAGCCTGCAGGTCGCTGAGCTTGACTTGGACGGTGTAATCGGATTCTTGAAGGTTGCTGCCACCCAGGGCCTCCGGGGCTCCGTCTTGGGCTGCCGCATCCTTCTGCGGTTCATTCTGCTCAGGAGCTGTATACCGATTAGCTACTGTTGGAGAGGGCATATAATATATATCTTCCAGGTTGCGCGAAACAGCTCAAGGTAGGAGAATAGCGGAAGAGTTGCATACCAGTCGCGGTGGAATCGGGCTTGGTGATGCGATCCTCCAGTGGAGCGCCAGCGCTAGGAGACTGAGTCTGCTGTTCGGATGCCATAGCTGTAGCTCTCGACGAGGAACGGAACGATAGAGGCGAGATATGAAGCTGTCAGAGGAGTTTGAGGGTGGTAGGTCAGAGAGCGCTGAAGAAGAACGAGCACGAGTGGGATGGAGGGGTAGTTGAGAAGGGACGGGATGAGGTCAACCAGCCATGCAACAGGACTGGCAGAAAGAGGCAAAAGGACACGGATTTCCGGTGGTTGGCAGACTAGCCCTGCGACGATAGATAGGATCGAACAGGCTATTGTCTGCCGCGATGGTCAGGTAATGTATGCAGGCTGCCCTCGAGCTCTGCGGGACTGAAAAAGAGATCGATAACCTAGGCGGTGGGCCAGTGTGGGCTAACTGCTTTGGGGGCAGACAAGCCCTTCGCAGCTGCAAACACGCCGTCGCCCCCTGTGGCGGTGAACTGCTGCCAGGGCCAATGACAGTCCGGCGCAAGCCAGATCCCGTGGAGATGCAGGTGGCTTTGCTGTGAAGAAGGCATTCACTGGCGAGATGCCTCAGGAGTCGTGCTGGTTCTCAGACTCTGAATAAATGATTGTCGAATGCGAGTCACCCAGTGTGTCATTTATCAGCATCGTAGAGATCCTTTAAAGGAATAGTATAGCAGATATTGTGCGGCGTCATACTGCCTGCCTGTGCTGTGGCTGGGCAGCTGCCTGCTCCCGCTTAGTCAGCGCCAAGCCCCCGCAGTCTCGTGTCCGATCCCCGATGGTCCTCCGGCCTATCCTCAACTAAGTAACTCTTAAGACCAGCTTGGAACTGCCAGCCTGTTGCTATCGTCAGTCTCGGCCGATTTCCATGCGACACGTTCAGCAGTGCCACCCGAATTGCACAAAGAAGTCGCTGCGTTAATTTGGAATTCTTCCTGGTCGCAGACGAGCTGCGCGACGCGGCTGACCGATTGCTGGGGAACGGCACATGTCGGAGGTTTGTCCACGGCTGCAAGTGTCCGCCCGCCGCCACCCCTCGTCTACGGAGTTGGTCCAGGTTCACAGCTCGACCAGTCTTCAATGCACGTATGATTGAGCCGGGATAACGAAGAAGCCGTCGAGCCGCGATGACAGAGGTTGAGGTGAATCCCCAGTTTGGGGCTGAACTAAAGGTAGGTGGTTCACTTGACACTCAGCCATGGCTGGATCGACTTCTGACGAGATTGAACTTGACTAGGATGCCTTTAAACCTGTCAACGCCTGGGTATGCAGCTCCCGCCTCCTGCGCATGAAACCTTTCCTTTACTCCTCTTCCGTCACCCACGATTTTGTGTCGAGAGGATATCCACTGAGACGACGATATACAGGTATCCAATGGAATCTCGTGGCTGGATGAGATACAGCAGTTCTACCGTGATAGAAGCGCCATCGAGAGGGAGTATGCCGCCAAACTATCTGCGCTATGCAAGAAATACTCGGACCGCAAAGCCAAGAAGATCAGCAGTTTGAGTGTGGGTGACACGCCCAGCATGACACCGGGATCCCTCGAGGCGGCTTCCTTGACCACCTGGTCCACTCAGCTCAATTCACTGGAGTCGCATGCCGCCGTGCGTGACAAATTCGGGCTTGAGCTAGTCTCCCAGGTGGCGGAGCCCCTGAAGCAGGTCGCAGCACGATATGAAGAACTACGTAAGAGCCATGTCGAATACTTTGGCAAGCTCGAGAAAGAGCGGGAATCCACTCTCAGTGATCTCAAGAAGGCCAAGGGGAAATATGATGGGGCGTGTCAGGAGGTCGAAAACCGGCGCAAAAAGATGGAATCCTCGTTTGACCATAGCAAGACGAAAGCCCAGGCTGCCTACCAGCAGCAGGTCCTGGAGATGAACAATGTGAAGGTATGCGTGCGATGGCACTCCTTACGCGGGACTTTACTAACAGCAACCAGAATACCTACATTATCAGCATCAATGTGGCAAATAAGTTGAGGGAGCAGTACTATCATGAATATGTCCCGGAGCTGCTCGATGTGCGTTACACTGCTGTCTCTCTGTGATGTAGTCTTTCCTGCTGACGGGTCGGTTCCTAGAGTCTGCAAGACCTCAATGAGACGAGAGTCGCCAAGTTGAACTCACTATGGTCTCTAGCTGCACAGCTCGAGACAACCGCCTTATCCAAAAGCACCGAGCATATCTCGCACTTTGCTGGCGAGATCCCACGCAACAATCCCAAGCTTGACTCTGCCATGTTCCTCCAGCACAATGTTACCCAAACGCAAGAGCCTCCGAACCTGGTCTTCGAGCCCAGTCCCGTGTGGCATGATGACGCAGCCATTGTGACCGATGAGCCAGCCAAAGTCTTCCTCCGCAACCTACTGACCAAGAGTAAAAGTCAGGCAAGGGAGTTGAAGATGGAGGCAGATAAGCAGAGACGCGAGGTCGAGAGTGCCAAACGCATCCGCGAAAACGTCAAGCAAGGCAAGGACAACCGCGACGAGGTCGAGCTCGTCAGAACGATTTTTGCTCTGCAAGAAAAGCTCCACGAGGTGGATCGCAAACGGTTGACAGCTGAGGTGGAGACGTCCACGATAATTTCTGTCGTCGGAGATCTGTCATTAGGAGCGAAGAATCACAACTTCCGGTCCCAGACGTTCAAGATTCCAACAAACTGCGACCTTTGTGGGGAGAGAATATGGGGTCTATCAGCCAAGGGATTTGACTGCCGTGACTGTGGTTATACCTGTCACAGCAAGTGTCAGATGAAGGTCCCCGCGGAGTGCCCCGGGGAGCAGACGAAGGAGGAGAAGAAGAAACTGAAAGCCGAGCGTCAGGAGCAGGCCCAAGCTACTCCGACCATCCACGAGCCATTGTCGTCCAACGGAGTGTCTGAGTCGCCTTCGCTGAGTCGCCGAGACACGATGAACTCGTTGAGCTCTGGCTATGCGGCCAGCGCCCGCCGATCAATTTCCGGGTCAGTGACTTCCAGCAAGACGGCTGCTGCGTCGGACGAGTCGGCAGAACCCGCTGCGCCCTCTTCTCCGGCCCCGAAGCCGCCATCAGCCACAACAGGAGGAGTAAAGAAAAACCGGATCCTGGCCCCTCCTCCTGCACAGTATGTCAGTTCGCCTCCTGCGAATGACTCGACACCAGCTGTGACATCTAAACCCAGTGAACCTAAGGGGAAGATGATTTATCCCTATCAAGCTAATGGCGAGGGAGAAATCACCGTGGACGAAGGACAGGAGGTGGTTGTCGTGGACCCTGATGGTAAGTTTGCCGAGCACACGTTTTCTTGCAGAGGCCATTTCGCTAAGTAAAGAATAGACGGCTCAGGCTGGATGCGTGTCCGCGCTGGTGCCCTAGACGGTCTTGTGCCGGCATCGTACGTGGAGGTTGCTCCAACACCTTCGCCCACGCCAAGTGCCGGGTCAACAGATCGTCAGGGATCCGGATTCTCTAACTCATCCACCTCGCTGGCGGGGAGTGGGACGTCGAAACGGGTTGGGCCGGCGGTTGCGCCGAAACGGGGAGCAAAGAAGCTCCAATATGTCGAGGCCCTGTACGACTACGAGGCACGATCGGATGCGGAATTCAGCATGGTCGAAGGCGACCGCTTCGTGCTGATCAACCGAGACAGCGGCGATGGCTGGGCAGATGTCGAGAAGGGCGGACAGATAAAGAGTGTGCCCGCCAACTACATCCAAGAGATATAGCCGGTTCTCTTTCCTACATGTTGTATATAACCATCACCAAGCTTGGAATGATCTAGAAGCATGTGCGCATTGGTTCGTTGTTTGGGTAAACCTGTTCATTATGCTGTCTACATACAACAAACACTATGAGCTCTGGAAGTCAATAGAACCAGTTTGTGATCCGCAAGCGCAGGAAGCGTCAATAGAAATTTTCATACTCATGTATTAGATATCATAACCAAGAGTATATAAAAAAGCTTCAAACTGTGAATATTAATAATCGAGTTTCTCAAAGTACCATCCGCCTTGATCCGATCGATCACTCTTTCTTCCTCTCCCATATACCCATCCACAGACCCCACCCAACAACCTTCCCATCAATCTGCTCGACAATCTCCTCCTTCGTCGCAGGACTACTCAACTTGCTCACGTCAATGGGCTCCCTGAGCGCGACGAGCTGGAAGAAGTAGCGATGCGGCCCGTGGCCCAGCAATCCTCGCGGCGGGATGTAGACGGTACCCCGGCGGTTCTGGCCGTATTTGAAGCCGCCCTTGAGCGTGTAGCCTTCTTCTCCTTCTTCTTGTTGTTGCTTCTCGAAATCATCGTTTGTGACGCTCGTCCTCGTCGCTGGGATGCCGTAGTAGAGCCCGTGCAGGCTGGGCTCGGAGAGCGGTGCGTCCGGATCCTCTACCACGAGGAGATATTCCTTGATTTCTGTCGTCGTCAACGAGGGCCATTTCAGCGTCGGAAACATGCCTTTGCCAAAGAAGCTGTATCCCGGCGGGATGGTCGACCCCGTGGGGCCGATGTCTGGGCATTCGAGCGGGATCGTCGGTTCTTTGGGCACGTTGGCGAAGGCCCGACTTTTGTGGAAGAGGCCTGCATCGTGGCCTTTGCGGTGGGAAAGGAGCCAGGCGAGGATCTGCTCGATGTAGTCCATGGAAAAAGAAAGAATAAAAAAGGAAGTGGAAAGAGATGAGGAAGGGTCAGGTGGTTGTTGAAGATGAGATAGTGTGACCGGAAGCAAAGTTGTGACCCTGACGGACCCCTACAGAAGCAGTTAAGGAGGAAATTAATTTGGTTTGGAGAATAGGACAGTCAATAGCATACAATGAAAGAGAAAACCGTTATTTTTTTTCTTTCTAGAGACGGAATTCATTATCTATCGCTTTGAAAATAACTATCAACTGTATCCTTCGGGCCGGAAGCGGCAACAGCTACGCTATCTTATCTATACAGACCGGCCCGCTACCGGAGATCAGACGACAGCAATCTCCACAGATCGCATTGACTAGATGAACTAGATTATTAACTTTCAAATTGCAAGACATGGTATAGTTGACGTTTCGATATTTATCTTTGTGGTGATCGATGGATCAGAGAATAGAATGTGAATGTGACTATCTTGGAATCTACGAATTCTTCCATCTCTCAACGGATTTCGACGGCTTTTATACTGCTACATCGCCAGAGAACAACCAACATCGGCAGGATTCCCGTCCGAGAATTGTCATCAGCACATAAGTCAATTCCATCGATTGGAAGGGCCATATTTAATCCAGAGACAGAGATAGCCAGTCTTTGAGCTGATCTTAGAGTATACAGCACGATCAGCAGTGATGTCAGTCTTGATCGGCCAATCAGGACGCATCATTCAGAGCCAGCCAATCAGAGAATGACGGAGCATTTTTATCTTTACAGCCTGCCGACATGCACGGTGAAGATTGTTCTGAACAAACAACTGAATCGGTGGACACCTCGCATCTTTCATTGTATCGATTAATTCTTCCGATCGGCAGAGGTTTCAGACGCTGTTTCCAGTTTTAAGACATTTGTGCTCGTTATGAAATTCGCGCACAGGTGCCTCGTCCAGGCGAATCCTGGAACAGCCCTTCTCGTGGCCATTGACGTCGATTCGGCCTGGAATCCAATTCTATTGGGATATTCTATTGGGATCGAGTCAGGGTCAAGGTAGATAACGTGACCACAACGATGCCGTCCACAGCAAATCGCAGAGCGCGCGTCCTTATCCGGGTTGCAGCGCCCAAAGATTGAGACATGTGCCCTGTGTCACCGGCTGGCCACATGTGCCATTTGCCCCTGGGCCCTGACCCAATGGCATATTTTGGCTGCGAGACCCAGAGTCCCTGCGCAGATCTGCCGGGCACGTCCCCGGACGTCGCACCGAGCTGATAAAACACCTTCCACCACGCTTCGCGCCTGATGATGTAGCGTCAAACTGCACGGAGCCGTCAGCATGACAAATCTCTTGTTTCTCCGGCGGTCCGGTCCGTATCAGATCAGCTTGTCGTCGTCGACGATGCGGACGGATTGGGGAGGTCCTGCCTGCTCAGTGACTCGGCACTGCAGGTTCAGCCTTGGAGTTGCACGTGTTGAAGTTGCACCGTCCCTGGATAGACTGCAAATTGGGATGGCTGAAGCAGACGAGGCTGGTTGGGTGGATACTTAAATATGATGCTTACCTCGACGGAAGCATTGGTTGAGCATTCGACAGTCGTTCAAGAATATGAAAGGGTGAATTCCTTCTTGTCTGTGGTGAACGTGATCGTCTCAAATCACTTGATATCTTTCCAACGAGACTATGGCACGCACTGCTTTTGAATACTGTTCATTATCTCCAATTGCTAGCAAGATGCCAACGTCCGATTCCGTCGCGTCCTCCACAACATCCCGCGTCAAGCTCCGCTCGTCGTGTGATCGCTGCTCGGCAAACAAGATCAAATGCAGCCAGGAGAAACCGGCATGTCAGCGGTGCCGCTCGCTTGATCTGCAGTGCATCTACAGCCGGTCGATGAGATCGGGCAAGCCGCCACGGTCTCGACAGCGGATGACGACGCTTGCGGGGAGCAGACCGGCCGCCAGTAGCAGTGGCCTCTCCGCCGCTGCTGTCGATGATATCAAGATCGTCTCCCACGGCGACGCAGCCGCGTCTGTGCCCTGTCTGGAGGGGATCAATCTAGAGAGCATGCTGGCGACGAATGCGGCCACGAACCAGTACGGTCTGTTCTACGAGAACAGTCCCCTGGGGACGCCAGAGAAGTTTCTCATCAATGCCTCTGTGGAATATGCCCCGAACCGCAGCTTCTCGAAGCAAGGAGATACAGGCATCACTGACATGCCCACGCCTTTGCCGCTTCTTCAAACCGTCGACAATAGTCCGGAGCACAAGCAGCAAGCGCCGTACATGACCCCCTGCCCGAGTTTCAGCAACACGCCGATGGACACGGGGTTCAGCCCGCTAGGACCGCCGTTTGACAAGCCAAGCATGAGCGACTCGTCGCACGACTGCATTGGTCTTGCGCTGGGGACATTGGCGAGTCTCTACCAGCTGTCGTCCAGCCCATACAGCAACGGGACGGTGGAAGAACTGCAGGACAACTTTTCCTCCTCAGCGCCCACAATCGACCAAGTCCTCCAAACGAACAGCGCAGCAATCAAGAACGCCATGACTCTCCTGGCATGCCCGTGCGCCAAGGACTTTTGCTTCCCCATCCTGATGGGCGTGATCTACTCGAAGATCCTGACATGGTACCAAGCGATCGTCAACATCGACGACGACAACAACGATCCTGACGTGATGAACGGCAACAACAGCAGCAGCAACGACATCTACTCCTCCTACTCGCCATCAAAAAAAGAGTCCGTGGCAGCAGTTTACCGCCCCTTCCTAGTCGGATCCTACAGACTGGACGAAGAGATCGGCCGGATTATGACGCAGCAGCTAGTGCTGAACGAGCTGCGCGAGATGGCCAAGGCGGTGGGCGTCTTTCTCGATGGGTTCTGTGGGAGCAGCCACAATAATAATAACAATAATAACATGCCCAGAACCCGCTGCAGTGGAGAACACATCTACCTCCGCATGGGCATTTCTCTAGACGCGCGGTTGAGATACACGATCCAGGAGCTGGAGAAGATTCTGCCGACGAATCAGTCATAATATAACCTTTTTGACTTACTTTTAGGATTTCTTTCAGCCTTTTATTTTTATTTTATTTTATTTTAGTTTATTTTAGTTTAGTTTATTTTTGTTATTTATTATTATTGAGAGAACAGGAACAGGATACAGGATACAGGAGCAATCCAATCCAATCCAATCCACGTTCCTTTCTCTTTCCTTTTCTTTCTTTCGTTTTCGTTTTTCTTTTCTTTGATGATTGACCACGCTACGGACTTTCAACATTCTCCACCCTTCTCTTCCTGCTATTACTATTTTTTTTTCTAATTTGCAATGAATGGACAGGTAAAGACCTACGTAATGAGACGATGGATGGGTTTCATTTATTTATTATTATTATTTATTTTATTTAATGATACATGCAACATGCAACAATGTAATAATGAAACAATGTAATAATGTAGAAGAGCAAGGAAAATCTTAACTTTCTTTTCATTCAATTCGATTGATTCCATTCCATTCTTCCTCTTCTTCATCATCGAGAGAGATTTATTGATTAACATTAACATTAACATTACTCTCGTTCTGTCATTCATCCATTCGTTAGTTGTTCATTAAACGGAATTAAGGCATTAAGTAATCCGGATATTAAAAAAAAATATCATATCTGTCCTGGACGTAACCTTGTAGGGGGGTTTTTCACACGTAAATCGTCCGCTGCACCTGCGGATACAGCTGGACCATCCGGTCGTAGAGCTCGCGATGGTCGCGCACCAAGACGTCCGGACTCCAGCCCATCGCGACGAAGATCGTGTCGACGCCACTGCCGATCGGCGTGAGGAAAATCTGGCAGATTTGAAGACCGATGACGAAGGAGAAGGCCATGATGACGGCCGTGAACCGGCCGCTGGAGTGGTGGTTGTTGTAGGTCGGTTTCGTGAACTCCAGGTACAGATAGGCTAGCAATGCGCACAGGTACGAGACGAACACCGAGCCCATTGTCAGGACAGGCCCGATCAGGCAGTCGTTGACGAGTGCGTCGATCCCCCGGTCTTTCATCATCGTCCATGTGTCCTTTGCTGCTGGGAGGTATGCTCTGCCGTACAGCGCGATGTGGCAGAAGGCGTACCGGTTGAAGAACGTCGCCAGCCAGTCCAGCAGCGAGACGAAGCAGCCCAGAATCCACACCGCGATGCTGCCGACAACGTTGCCCTCCGCTGCCTCGTGCCGCTGCGCAACGGAACAGGCCTGGCGCAGCATGTTGATGAAGGCGATCAGCAGGCTACCCAGACTGATGCTGCCGAACGAATACGTCGACGCCCGCTGGAATGCTCCCCGAGTCGACCCCTTGGGAATCCCGCCGGGGGACCGGCTCCAGAAGTACCACGATGCATACACACCGGCGACGGTCGTGTGGACCGTGTTCTTGAGCCACTCGCTCAGCCAGTACATGGCAAACGTCACGTAGACGACCAGGCCGATGACCTTAGCGGAGCTGCACCCGCCGTGGGCACAGGACGGATTAACACCGTGGCCATTCGGTTCGTAGGCGACGTAAATCGCAACCAGGGTGACCGAGAACCACGCGGAAAAGGCGACGGCCACGAGGCCTCCGATGGCGCTGACGGCGAAGACATGACCGTAATGGCGCGCCACGTCGATGGCCGTCTGCAGCATGAGCACGCTGAACGGGATGCGCGGGATCCAGCTGACGAAGCAGACGATGGCGAAGACGCCGAAGAGCAGGAACACGATCCCCGCGCCCCACTGCTTGCGCACGAGGTAGTAGATGGCGGTGCCGATGGCGAAGACGATGTTCAGGATGCCCGTGATCCAGATGAACTGCTTGGTGAAGTAGCGCGCGCCGAGCAGGTACGCCCACGAGAAGGCGATGGCAACGCAGAGGACGAAGATGAACAGGACGAGCGTGTTGGTATCGAGGGAGAAGGTGTTGGCCGAGTCGTAGATGCCATCGCCGTTGAAGCCTTTTGTCACGGCGTATTTGTGGATCGTCAGGCCAGAAACGGCGACGTAGCCGCAGAAGACGGCAATGAGCTGGGCGGTTAGCATTTCACATACTCCGGAGTAGAATATGACAACCATCCATCCTGACGGCACTTACTAAAAGACCCGCCCAGACATCGTGGAACTGGGGTCTCTCGATGCGAAACGCCTGGCTGAAGTCGTACACCGGCGGGCTTTGGTCTGTATACGGAGGAGGCTGCTTGTGCTCGACCTGGTAGTTGTTATACTGAGGCTGCGGCGCAGGACGCGGGTCCTCAAAGACCTGCTGGGGATCGTAGTAGCTAGCTGCCTGGCCGCTCATTGCGAAAGAATCAATTGAGGTATGGACAGTGGTTTGGAATGTTACAGAAAACAATTCAGAGAGGTGAGATATAGCTTTTGTCTTGTGAGACAGCAAGAGGATGGCCGTGGCTAGTGGCGATGCAAGGGCTGTTTCCTTCCGCATGCAGTCATGACGACAACATTGTCGCCTAGGCAGCGCAGGAATGCGTCGGATCTTAGAAATTATAACCTTAGAAATTATAATGTCGTGGTCATCATAGCTTCCAGTATTTCCTGACTCTTCTTCCTTGAACCAAACTGTATCGATAGATATCTGATATATACGTCGAAATACGTCCTTCCTAGCTGGGAAACTACCTCATCTGGTTAGCCTGACTTATCGCTTAGCTGATTATTTTCTAATCATTTCTAATCTAATAGACGCTACATCTTTGCCTGAGAATAATCCGATAATATTCTGAAATATCACCATTCAAAGCATGACGCTTACTGTCCAAATCAAGTGAGCTTTCTTTAATACTCGTCATATTTCTCCGCTTTCTAGAGGCTACAGACTACGTGGGCATAGATATACTTCCAACAATGATCCCCCATAGAATGACAAAAGTAAAAGCAACTTCTGGAAATACCTCTTTCAGCAATTCCTCTACGCTTTTATCCGTTCGTTCTCTGGGCTTTATGTCTATTGTTTATTCATGACGAAAAAGCAACAAGATTACATGTACTATACAAGTGGTGAACCCATGTTATTCTCGCATCTAGTAGTAACTCTGCGACATATTATCTTCCCACAGGCAGGTAGATAGATATCGACTCCCTCTTTTTTTTTTCTTTCTTTTATAAGGATATCTCTATTTTTGAAGAATAGTTTCCCTGATGATGTCTTTCTTTGGCTTTGGCTGTGGCTATGGGTCGACGTGACCTGACTGTACCCCAACCAAGGCGTCTACTCAATCTGTTAGCAGCTTGGTACGAGGAGCGATGTATGTGCCCAAGGCTTTTCGACAAAATGCTCGAATTCCTCGACTCGGTTCTCGAGTGGTGGGTGGATTGGACGTTGTTGTTTCATTGCATGTTGCATATATATCTATCGGCTATTTCGCAATGTATGTACTTGTTTTTATGTACTTGCTAACTTTCAACTATTCACCCTGCACCTGGTCGTATCTCTCCTCCAAGCTCGTTCTGGCAGGGCGCTGCAACGGCCATCGAGAACGTGGCCGTTCCGTTCTGGCTGGCCTCCTCCTCGATAGGTTCAGGTTCCCTACCAGGGAAACAAAACTCTCCCCACGGCGCTGCGGCTTTGCTCGCGCGACCGTCGATTGAGATGGTTCACGCAGATGGAGGATGGTCCAGACATCTGGGAAGGGCATGTCAATATCCGGTCGAGAAAGGAGTTTCTCGATCAGCTAGCTGTTTGGGGAGAGCTGGAGCTGGAGGTTGTAGTATGAGTAATGCCTTGGCGAGAGACTGCTACTGCTTACTGTTTAGTTGGTGATTTGCTATGCCTGAATTAGCAGTGTAATGCCTGCAGACATACAACTGTACATACTCCATATATTCGATTGACTATACAGGCCAATTGCTCGGCTGGTTCAGCCCCATCCCGTCAAACCCGGCAAATTGCGCCGCGATGTGCTGCGCCCCTGCCGCAAAGTCGCTACCCAGGTGGAAAAAGTCCCACGGCATCTCGTTGATCCCATACAAGTCCGACACCAGCTCCGGCACCGGTAGGATCTCGCTCGGCGGATCCGCGACGCTGCTCGCGGTGTACGGCTGCGGAGGAGTGCTCGGAATGGGCTTCACATCCGCCGACGTAGCCTCCTGCTTCTCCGACGCGTCCTCGACCTCGACCCCCACGATCAACGCGAGATCGGTCGCCACCCGGGACAGGATCTTGTACGTCGGCGCCAGCTTGCTTCGGCGAGCCAGCTCGACCATCGTCGACAAGCGCTCCTTGTGCGCCACGTCCTCCGCCGAGTCCGCCGAGTCGCGCGGCCGCCCCAGAAAGTCCAGACTTAGCACCATCATCGCGTGGTACACGTAGTAAAAGTCCATCCAGGCGACCCCCTCCAGCTGCCCGAACATCGACAGCTGGTGCAGGTGGTCCAGCGCCACCTTCGCCGAGGAACGACACGCCTGAGCCAGCTTGTCGATCTTGGGGCTGACGGCCGTCAGCGTAGGAGGGCCGGTCTGCAGCTGCCGCTCGATGTCCCGGTTGACTCGACACAACAGGTACGGCCGCGTCACGATGGACTCGAGGTAATGGTAGTAGATGTGCATCATGAGCACGGCGCGACGATGTCGCGGAATCATGGGATGCCAATTGGGTGTCAGATGCTGCGGCAGCCGGGACTTCCACGCGTTCAGCTCTTGCAGCATGTGCCCGGCCTTGGCGCAAGTCGCCAGCAAGGCGTCCTCGCTCGTGTACTTGGGCGACAGCGCAGACGCCAGTCGTTTGACGCGGGGGCCAATCTGGATCAGAGCCAGGGCGTGGGCATGACAGTCCGGGGGGAAGTCTCCCCCATCGAGGACGGCCTCGTCCGGCAGTCGGACGTTCACCTCCATCGGGTCGATGCACGGCGGTCGCCCGAGAATAATAGAAATCTTCTGTTCGAACATGTACAGCGTCCACCAGACCATGCGCCGGGTGTTCCTCTCGATCGGGTCAAACCCTTCGTTCACGCCTTCGCGGTGCATGCCCAGCGCGATGGCCATGCGAGCGGCCAGCCCGAGGATCATCCATGCCGCGTTGCGCTCGCCCGAATTATGTTCGTAGAGCTGAAGCAGCAGCAGCGCCTGGACGTTGGCCAGGCTGGCGGTGAAGGCCAGCTGCTCAAACCGTTCGCGCACCATTTTCACATAGCGACTCTGGATCGACGTCGCCTCGTCCGAGCCATCCTGCCCCAGCGTCTCCGCTCCCAGGACCAGCATCATAAACAAGGAGCAGACCCAGCCCGGCTCGGGTTCCGGCGCTTGGGAGGAGTCTGGCTGCCACAGGGCCTCATAGCGCAGCTGGAACGTGCCCCGATGGAACAGGGTGTAATTGGGATGGACGTGATCGAAGAAGGCGCGGACCAGTTCATCCGACACGTTTTTCGGCGGCAGCATATCTCGAAGAGGCGGCGGATCTGAGGTCGAATACTGTCCCCGCTGTCTGCTCGAGGACGGATAATCGACGCCTGACGTATGTCTCCCACCCGCGAACATTGCTGCACGGCCCCTTATGCGCGATTCGAGCGCTCTGCCGCCCTTTGCATTGGCGATTTCCGCTTCCAGCTTGCTCCGCTGCCCGTCGCGTGGACGCACGCCAGAAGATATGCCATTGCATTTGGCCACGAGCTGTCGAATTGTCGTCGCAAAGTCGAACGAGCTGACTGGCCCGACGTAATGCGAGACGCCATGAGGCGCCGGGATCAGTCTCTCCCCAAACACCTCCGACGCCAGACCGTCACTCCTGTCGTCTGCCGGGGTCTGTGCCGGCGAATGGCTGAAGGCATCCGGGGCCGGCGTCTGGTCGTCCGCAGGGGGCATGGGGATCCCACGGTCTTTGGCGAGGCGGAACAGCGTGTCGATATCGTCCGTGTCATCGTCGGGAAACAGGCCGCGCACGAGGGCATCGAGGGCACGGTAGCGCAGACTGAAGCGCTCGACACTGCCGTAGACGCGCTGCTTGCGCGGCAGAGTCGACTCGCACTTGACGCCGCAGCTCACGCAGCTGGCACACGTCTCGTGCTCGTTGGCGCGCAGGCAGCGAATGCGGCGGATTTTGCAGCGATCGCAGCTCACCAGCGTCCGCCGGCGGAGAGAGTCGGGGACGCGGCGCTTCCCCTGCTTGGCCTTGTCTCCGCTGGCGGGCATGTTGGCTACACGGTGGTGTCAAGTGTCATAATGGGGAAGGACAGGTGTAGTGTCAACGATGAGTTGAATGAATTGAGGTTGCGTTGAGGTGAGTGAGCTGGGACTGTTAGCTCCCCGAGCAGCGTCGCCCGCGAACTCGTGACTAGCGCCGCACCGGGGAGAATTCATTCGCGAATCCCTCCAGATGCTTCCAGTCGACGCTGTTTGCGGAAAGCCGTGGTGACAGCGACTCCATCCGTGGTCACCTCGTATCTGACGCCATCCCAGATCAGGCATGCGATCGTCGTGCAGAATGCCTTGATTCTGCTGTCATGAGGCCCACGTGTGGCCCAGACCGTTGACCGTTGAAGCTTGCTGTACAACCCCGCAGGCAATGCCAGTTGGTGCCCTGCAGAGTATCAAGGGTGGGCTGTTATTTGAGCGATTACATGCAATCCATTTGAAGTGTTGTTTTACTGTGTGTTCCTTTATAATGTGACAGCGTGGTTGATCCGTCGCAATGGCAGCCTCAGCGAGCAATGAGTGCAGCAATTCTCAGTCTGCAGACAGGACATTCGAGATGATCTGCTGGTAGGCAGGATTCCTCACTCGTGGTCTACGGCTTCGACAAGAGTGCTGACAAACAGAATTGGCCTCACGGCTGAAGTGGACCGTCTCCTCCAGGTCAGCTTCATGGCTTCCTAGGACCGTTCAATGCCGGCGTCGTGAACCCCAGACTGGTGCTCCTGGGAGCATTCCACCGATGAACCACGATAATCTCCTATACGACGACTATCGCCATCATCATGGGCGGCGTAGCGGTATTGTTGAACGCTTTGATTTGCTCTACCTCCCATTTACGTGGGCATTGCTGTCTACGGGCTCAGGGCCAAGTCTTTCATATGGACTGTCTCAACTGTTCTTCCTCCACGAGAAGGGAGAAAAGACAGGGATCTAAACCATCTTTGTGACCTACGGCGTCTAGAATGCGTTCCTAGGTCAGCGACCACTACTTCTTACGGATCGTGGCTGATCACGGGACTTCTGGCTTCCTGCCATCATCACAGGAGCCTCCCTGAGCCGCGCCGTCTTTCTCTTCTCTGAAATGCTCTTCTCCAGAGACTCAAACCCAGCGAAGACTGCAGCTTCACGATTTTCTCCTGTCCTTCCTGATGCTGAGATACCCGTCGGTTTTCTTGTGCTTCTGGTACTATACTTGGTCGTGGTCGTCGTCAACATCCTGCCTGCCATCAGTATCGCCAGCAGTATCGCCTCGCCCGGAGTCACGATGGTGTCAGGAAACAGGAGCATCGGTTGTTCTTGACCGGGCCTTCGGCTTCCTCATGCTCGTAGGGATTGTCATATTTGGTATCATATTTGGTGTCAGTGTGGAGAAACGTGCAAATTTGGTATTCCACTAGTTGGACAGGGAATCAGCAGGTTCAGGGAGCTGGATCGTCTCGAAAATCGCTGACCATGCAGGCTCGTTCGGTCTGCAAGTCACATCAACCTGTCTGTATGCCTATGTGTCCGACTGCTACAAGCCCCAGATGGCTGAAGTGCGGTGCTACTGAACCTGGATCGCGGCCTGTCGTTCTGTCTGGCCTTCATTGCCCTTCGTACAGAGAGAAGTCGGCTTCCATTGGGCGTGGACGACGTTTGCGCTGGTTTGTGTTCTGATTCCCGATCGTTGTGTTGATGATCTGGGGGGAGAGATGAGGCAGCAACTGGGTCGTCCGCCGTTCTATCAGTATATATGATAATGATATCTTGATCGGTCAGTGAATGGCCATGTGTTGGATGAAGGACTCTCGGCATGGTCTCGACCAGCCAGCCAGCAAATGAAACCAGAGCACACGAAACAGCAGCCATGCTTGGCATTGCCACCGGGGCCACCGTCCCAGACGCCTGGTTCCTATTATTGCACGAGAGCAGACAGCAACCACGGGTCGCTGGATCCGATCCAGGAGTCCAGACTCGAGACGACCAGCTATTTTTGGCGAAGAGGGTTTCCAGAAGAAGACGAAAAGAAGCAGCGAGATGGGACCGCAGACGATATAACACTTCACAATTCACTCGCGAGTGCTCATGTCCTCACTGCAGCAGCGCCAAGAAGCCCAGTCGTTGCCACACCAGCCATGACTAATTAACGAAGAGCAAGCGAGGTCCCTCCATGGCTCATCGTGCACTGGGTTTGCAGCCGTCTGCTGGGAAAAAAAGACCAGTAGAGTATGGATCAGCCAGAGCGTACTCCGTATATGCACAGCGTACGGCCATCACTCGTGGATAAGACGAAGCAACCATCCTCCATTCCTCATGAGCATCGTTATTCCCGCGGTGGGGATTCGGCAGGGGCGCATTCTCCACGGCGGCAGCGATCGCGGCCTGCCAAGCCCCGAAAGACCAACCGCTGCCAGCAGAGGCCGCGGGGATGCTGCGCCCTGACGTCGTGATGAACCTGGCATGGATCCTGCGGCGCTGGGGCAGCCTCTCCCTGGCACGATTTGCGCGCATGCACATCATCCACCGCCCTGCCTCTGCAACTTCACAGGCCCAGGGCCGGTGGACCGCCCTGCACAGCCTCCAGGGTCCTCCTCCCATCGACTGCTGATCTGTCAGTCCATCGTGGAACCCGCCATGCCTAGCACACCCATCGCGCGCCCGCGGATCGCAGGCCACAGACTCTCCCCTTGCGGCCCTCAGCGGACGCCCTGTGGAGCAGCAGCGAGGCGAAATTGGATGATGATCAGGGGAGGCAGGCGCTGCGCCGTAGTTAAAGGTTGGCCAACCCGGGCGTGCCATGCGTCCTGCTTCTTTCCTGATGTAGCCCATCTTCTCGTCGCTCGCTCCTTCATTCCGGCTTCGCTGCAGCCCCTTCCGTTTTGGTGTCCTACAGGAAGATACTGTCACTCGTTTCGTATCTTTCTGTTCGTTTCTCTTCTCGTCTCTCGTTCATCTCCGCGTATTTCTTCTCGCCATATCGCTGTTATAATCTCTCGTTATCAGTGGCAGCCCTCCATCAACTATCATCATGAAAGCCAACATCGCCTCGGTGGCTGCGGCCATCACCATGGGCGCCTCCGTCGCCATGGCCGCCCCGCAGAAGATGGCCCGTGACAGCGTGACGCCCATCACCGTCAAGGGCAACGCCTTCTTCCAGGGCGACCAGCGTTTCTACATCCGCGGTGTCGACTACCAGCCCGGCGGTTCGTCCAACCTGGACGACCCGCTGGCCGAGCCCTCGACCTGCAAGCGCGACATCGAGAAGTTCAAGGACCTGGGCCTCAACACCATCCGCGTGTACTCGGTCGACAACTCCCAGGACCACGATGAGTGCATGAACGCCTTGGCCGACGCGGGCATCTACGTCGTGCTGGACGTCAACACCCCCAAGTACTCCCTGAACCGGGCCGACCCCCAGTCCTCGTACAACGACGTGTATCTGCAGAACGTCTTCGCGACCGTCGAGATGTTCGCCAAGTACCCCAACACGCTGGCCTTCTTCTCCGGCAACGAGGTCATCAACGACGGTCCTTCCTCCAAGGCGGCTCCGTACGTGAAGGCTGTCACTCGTGACATTCGCCAGTACATTCGTGCCCGCAAGCTTCGCGAGATCCCGGTCGGATACTCTGCGGTAAGTGTCTCCGGTCCCATCCGGTCCAACGCGTTCTGACGAGTTTCCAGGCCGATGTCGACACCAACCGCCTGCAAATGGCCGAGTACATGAACTGCGGGCCCGATGAGGTGCGCAGCGACTTCTTCGCCTTCAACGACTACTCCTGGTGTGACCCGTCCTCCTTCACCCAGTCGGGCTGGGACCAGAAGGTGAAGATGTTCAGCGGCTACGGCATCCCGCTGTTCCTGTCCGAGTATGGCTGCAACACGAACAAGCGTGAGTTCCAGGAGGTCGCCTCGCTCTACTCGACCGACATGACTCCCGTGTACTCGGGCGGTCTGGTGTACGAGTACTCGGAGGAGGGAAGCAACTACGGTCTGGTGAAGATCAACGGCAACAACGTCGAGGAGAAGCCCGACTACCAGGCGCTGAAGACGGCTCTCGCCAAGACCCCCAACCCGCAGGGCGACGGCGGCTACAACCAGACCGGTGGTGCCAGCGCTTGCCCGCCTGCTCAGCCTCCCAACTGGGCCGTCAGCAACGACGATATTCCTGCCATGCCGGAGCCGGCCAAGAAGTACTTCACCCAGGGTGCCGGCAAGGGTCCTGGCTTCTCGGGCCCGGGCAGCCAGAACGCGGGCACGCCGTCCTCTGGCATGGCGCCGGCCGGCTCTGGCACGATCGTCGACACCTCTTCTGGCTCGAGCTCGACCAGCTCCAGCACTCCGTCGAAGGCAGCCGCTGCGGGACTGCGTGTGCCTGAGATGACGCTGGTTCCGCTGTACTGCAGCCTGGCGGTGGTGCTGTCGTCGTTCTTTGGGGCGTCGCTGGTGATGTTCTAAGCGAATGATCTGGTCAGGTTTTTGTCTTGTTGGTTGTCACATTAGGCGATGTGTACAGTGATCGAGGGTGCGGGCTCGCTGGTATTATTCGCCAGTTGTATTGTCATTAGTTCTTCGTGTAGACTAATTGTCGTTTGAATAATAGTGCTTAGGATTCGTTTAAATCCATTGAATCTGGGTGCATAACTCACAGTGGACAGACATGTAAACAAACGCTGGTGAGGCACGACGGGAGCAGAACCGTAGTTAACTGTACCATAGTGAGTAGCAGCAGGTTCCGTAGATTCTTATATAGTCCCTACCCGCTGAGGCTTACGAAGCCCCGTACGTAGCGCGTAGTGGGCTAGGTTAAGGTACCAAGCTAGATGAGGACGACGGTTGGTCGGTTTTGACCGTTTTGGGCATGGATGGGATCCATTGCGGGGGTGGTGTTACGTAGGCTAGTAGTATACTTGATAGTGGTGTTAATCCGATAAGAAAAAAGAAAGAGTCAAGAGTAGGGGCTAGCTATCGTTGTGTCTTTATCTTTAAAAAAAATAAAAAAAAATAATTTTTTGCAGTATATATGTATGTATCTATTTATTCTGGAGTATATCTATATCTATCTGGATTCATGTCCTGAAGTTTTATTTTGGTGCCTTTAGACCTTGGTATATATATATATTATCAACCTACCAATGGTAGGTCATGTATTACATATAGGCAAGTACATACGTATGTACAGGAAAATACCTGCATACACAGTATATATAGCTAAGTATATACTAATTATATCCCTCCACGCCATCCGCAAACACAGAGAAAATGTCCAACGGAAACGCATCCGCTATAGCCTGGTATCCCGCCTCGTTCGGATGCAAGTGATCACCCGAGTCGTACTCCGGCGCCAGCACCGACGGATCGTTGGGATCGCGCACGATGCGGTCAAAGTCGATGACGGCGTCGAACACGCCGCTGGTGCGGATCCAGGTGTTGATGCGCTGCCGCGTCTGCTCGCGCACGGGGTTCGAGTAAGGCTGCACGCTGGAATTGCTCCCTGCGGGCGTGCCAAACGGCGTGATGGTCGCTGCGAAGAATGGGATCCCCTGCGCGTGGATCCGCTCCGCAATCTGGATGTACCCCGCTATCAGACTGTCGCCGATGGCTTGCTGGGTTGCTGGGTCGGGGTCTGCGACGCCGATGTCGTTGACCCCTTCGAAGATCATCGCGTACCGCACCCCGGATTGCGCTAGGATGTCCCTGTCTACTCGGCTGATGACGTTCGGGCCTAGCCCGTCTTGCAGGATGCGGTTGCCGCCGGCTGCCTGGTTGAGCACGGCGATCGAGGCCGTGTCTGGGTGTTGCTGCATCTTGTCCAGGACGAGGTCGGGCCAGCTGTCGTTGTCAGCAGGTATGTCCATACATACAGTACATACGGCAGGGTGGTCGACTCACCGGTCGTCTTTGTTGTCGTCACTGCCTCGACCGTCCGTGATGCTGTCGCCGATGATGGCAAATGCGCGTGCTGACGGGGGAGACCAGACTTCGACGGCGCTGATGAAGTACCTGACGAGAGTCAGTTTGCATTCTGCCAGTATCTCTTGGGGAATCCTACCAATGCTCGACACTCTGCACTGACGCATCCGTCAGGTTCGCCGCATGCGCATAGTTGCCAAACGAGAAATACGTCGTCGTGCGACTGCCGGGATGCGACGTGATGGCGCCGCCCTGCTGGCCGTCGGCCAGGTAGATGCTCACGCTGAGCACCGTCAGCGGCTTGACGGGGAAGTCGAGCGGATCGGAGACAGCGAGGCCGCCGTCCGGGATGGAGACGCTGCGCTGGCCAGAGAAGGTGACCTGCTGCAGGGTCTGGGGCTGGATGGCGCTCGTCCCTTCCTGGCCGTCGGCCGGCAGGGCGATGGTGACTTCGCTGAGGGTGAGGTTGGTGATGCCGAACGCGTTGGACACGCGCAGGCGCAGCTTCTCGGCGCCTAGCGAGACGTGCAGCGTCTGGCGGATGGTCGAGTTGAAGAAGATGGTTGCACTTCCGTTCTAGTAGTTGTCAGTATATTCCTAAATATGTATATATAGAGGGAAATGCTCGTACGAATGGCGGCGGAGGCAGATTCGCAGGCTCGGTCAGCTGCGGCATCGCCGTCCACGTGTCGACCCAGTGCCAGCCCGACTTTTTCAGACGAGCATTGTTGATGCTGACGACGGAGGCATTGGCATCGGCAGTGCCTCTGTCGGTGAAGGAGGATGGGGATGCATTGACGCACTGAAACAGACCGAGGAGGAGGACGAGGGCGCCGACGATGCGATCCATCTTGCTATACAAGCACACTCCAGTCTATAGGTCTGTGATAGTCGACCTGCAGATGGTGCTCCTTGGCACGTCACTCTTATATCCAAGTAACCGGCTCAATAGGTTCATTTCCTGAGTGACAGTGGATATCCACTGGACGGACTGCTTGCCGGCTAAATGAAGCATCTCAGTCCATGCGCTGGATACCCCGTAATTAAACAGGCCAAAGCTTCTCCGGCTGATTAGTTCGTCAGTTAGCTACCTACCTAGGTCGGGAGGTGGCGTTAGCTAGGAAAGCTTAGCCATTGCAATAATGCATGCTGTGGGGGCACTGGCTGAGCACTCACCTGCCAATTCGGAGATATTATCATTTCTCAAGGAGCAATGGATCAATTGATTAGAGAGTTCTGGTGTAAGCTTGCTGCTAGCTAATTGTTGGGATTCGGCATTTACCCCCGCGGACGGGGTTGCGTGTGCGGAATTCCCGGGGAGAAGACCAGGATGGCAGACTAGGATGCTAAGCAAGCAGTTATTCTCTCTCTCTCTCTCTCTGAATTGTTTCGGCTTTTCTTCTTTTCACCAGGTAGACAGTTATTTTAGGCACTGTACAATAATAATAATAACAACAATAGATTTGATTGGTTAAATTCGGGAAGCGTTGTTCTTGTCCAATCAACGGCTGAATGTTCTTCCATGGACAGGACTGTACTCTTTTTTTTCTCCATCTCTGCTTGAATAGACAAGATGAGTTAATATCATCGAGATAAGGTCTGCCAGCAGAATGGATTAACATAGGTTTGTCTCTATACTAGGTATGTATGTCTGTACATGATATTGTTTGTGTAGGTAACCTGGTACAATCCATGATATGATGGTGACCATGTGCAGAAAGGTACAAACTACAGGGTATGATATCCCACGATCTGGAGTATAAACTTGAGTATAACCCTGTAGATCGACAGTACGAGTAAATGCATCGTTATTAATAATCCAAATCCCGTGAGCACTGCTATCTCCGTTATCCCCGGCGGGGAAGCAGAACAGCATGGAAATCTCACTGCTACGACAATTCCACCATCTGATTAATTAGATTATTAGATTATTATCATCTCCATTCGTATAGGTATACCCGACTGACTGCCATTATGACCACTGCCCTCCGCCCCCAGGCCACCGCTCTCATCACCGGCGCCGCCTCCGGCGTCGGCTTCGCCCTCGCCAGGCTGTTCCGCGAGAGAGGCCTGCACCTGGCCCTGCTGGACAACGACTCGGCCAGTCTGCAGAAGGCCAAGCAGATTCTGGCAGCGGCCAACAGCTCGCTGAAAACCGAGGCGTACGCCATCGACGTCTCCGACCGCACCGCCTGGTCGACTGTCGCATCCCAGGTGCAGCAGGCCTTTGGCGGAGTCGACCTGCTGGTGCTGAATGCGGGGAAGAGCTACAAGGCGCAGGGTCAGAGTGAGGGACAGAAATTGAAGCAGTGGGAGGATGTCGAGTACTGGAAGAGGGTGAGCCTGGCAGCCCTAATATTCTATTCGTTGCTTCAGACTCCATACTGATGAGTGTCCATGTCTAGACATACGACACCAACGTCTAC